AAGGTGCCCGCCGTGCACTCTATTGATGACGCGAGGAAGAAGGAATTATTGGCCTTCGTACACGCACTCAAGCGCTGGCGGCATTTCCTTCTTGGTAGATGGCAGTTCCGATGGGTAACGGACAACAATCCGTTGGTCTTTTACAAGACCCAGGACACAGTCAACAACACCATTGCCCGGTGGATGGCCTTCATTGACCAGTTTGACTTCTTCCCCGATCACATTCCGGGCAAGTCAAACCGTTTTGCGGATGGTCTTTCACGACGTCCGGACCATTGCACCGCCGTCTTCTCGACTTTCAAGATTGATAACGACTTGCGGGACAATTTTATCCGCGGCTACCAGGCCGACCCCGAGTTTCGCGACAAGTACGCAAATTGTTCCTCGCCCAATCCGGCACCTTCTCACTATCGGATCCAGGAGGGATATTTGCTTGTCCACTCGCGGGGGAAGGATCTTCTTTGCGTACCGAGTGACCCTCACTTGCGTACACGGCTTCTTGGCGAGTTCCACGATGCTCCCGCCACCGGTTATTTTGGCGTCAATCGAACGATTGGCCGACTTCGCGAGCGATTTTGGTGGCCCGGTCTTCTCGACGACGTCACACGCTACTGCGAGTCATGTGAAATTTGCCGATGTTGCAAATCCCGCAATCATCGTCCGTATGGCGAGTTGCGAGCACTACCGGTTCCCTTGCGCCGACGGGAGGCGATTGCCATGGATATCACTGGGCCATTCCCCAAGCACAAGACCGGTGTGGATGGGATTCTCACGGTAGTCGATCGACTCACCAAGTTTGCCATGTTTTTGCATTGTCGCTATCATGCCAAGGCACCAGAGTTGGCCGAGGTTCTCTACGCCGATTAGATTCGAACCAAGGGTTACCCCAAGGAAATCGTCTGCGACCGCGATACTCGGTTCATGTCTGATTTTTGGTTGGCGCTCACCAAACGATGGGGCTCATCTCTCAAGCCTAGTTCAGCTCGCCACCCTCAGACGGATGGCCAGACGGAGAGGGCGCACCAGACGACACAGGTTCTCCTTCGCACTCTCATCCGTCCCGATCAGAAGGATTGGGTTGAGCGGCTGCCGGATGCCGAATTGGCCTACAAATCGTCCATCCACCCGGCTATTGGGATGTCGCCTTTCGAGTTTGAGCATGGCTCTCCGGTCACTTCTCCGTTGGACACCATCGTTCCACGCACGGCCGAGAGCGACGACCATCTCCTTTTCTTGCGTCGGATGCAAGAGCTTCTTGTCAAGGCATGCAATCAGATGGCAAAGACGCAGCAACGCATGAGCCAGCAGGCCAATCGCCAGCGTCTTCCTTGTCCATTCCGCGCCGGCGACCTCGTATGGGTTTCCGCCGCGGAATTCAGCCTTGAGCAGGATATCTCTCGCAAGCTCCTCCCGAAATGGATGGGGCCATGGCCGATTGTAGCACCTGCTGGGGATGCACCTGAGGGACCTTCCTTCACTGTTCAGGTGCCCGCCCACTTGCCCGTCTACCCGGTTTTCCATTGCTCCAAGTTGGCGCTCTACACACCAGCAGACCTGGATGACTTTCCCGGGCGACGATCGCAAGACCCACCCTCTATGGACGACTTTCAGGAGGTCGGTGACATCATTTCCCAGCGACGCTACGGCAACAAGCCGACCGAGTATCTGGTACACTTTGCGTATTGCACCCATCGAGCCGACCGCTGGTTGACCCGTGCGGAACTCCAAGCGACAGCTCCAGATGTTCTCGTACGGTATGAACGAAAGATGCAAGGCAAGCCGGTATCTTCGGCTCCACGCCTCAACCGCGTCCAGGTTCCACCTGCAGATCGTCGGCTGCGCCCTCGACCCGGCTTGACTTCATAAGGAGGGGGGGGTGTTACATGTTGCGCCTGCACAGGAAGGCCATTTTCCAGGCCCTACGTTGTTCAAGCTGGAAGCCTGAATTTCGGGCTCAAGGCCTGGAAATAAGAGTCTGCAGACCCCATGACGGTTCACCCCAAAAGCCTGACATCCGGGGCCCACAGGCCCTGCATCGTTTCAGCCAAAAAGGCCTGAGCCTTTTCAGCCTGAAACTGAGGGTTATTTCCGGGNGGGGCCCACAGGCCCTGCATCGTTTCAGCCAAAAAGGCCTGAGCCTTTTCAGCCTGAAACTGAGGGTTATTTCCGGGCCTGCAGACCCCATGACGATTCATCCCAAAAGCCTAACATCCGGGGCCCACAGACCCTGCATCGTTTCAGCCAAAAAAAAAGCCTGAGCCTTTTCAGCCTGAAACTGAGGGCTATTTTCGGGCCTACAGGCCCCATAACGGTTCAGCCCAAAAGCCTGACATCCGGGGCCCATAGGCCCTGCATCGGTTCAGCCTAAAAAAAGGCCTGAGCCTTTTTAGCCTGAAACTGAGGGCTATTCTCGGGCCCTCGTCAGACCAACCTGCCCTGATACAAGCACATTCGGGCATTGGCAGGAGTGACCTGCCCTGAAGCTTCCTCAAGGGCTAGCACGTGCAGGCATTGGCAAGAGCAGCCTCCTGGACGGGCCAGCACTATATAAGACTGGCCCGCCGTACAGGTTGGGACAGACGAGAGGAGACTGCCCAGGCACTCAACGTGCGCTTCTACAGGAGGCAGTAGTCTTCAGGATTCGGCTGCAGTAGTAGAGTAGCGTTAGCAGTAGTCTTCAGCGCTGGGCGCGAGTAGCAGTAGACCAGAGTAGTGGAGAGAGGAGGCTGGCGGAGGCCAGGGATGCTTACCTGTGGCGCCATAGCTCCAACTTCGTCTTCGAGGTACCTGCAACAGAGCGCCCGAGTGACTTACCTGAGGCGCCATAGCTCCAGCTCGCCAGCGAGGTACCTGCAGCACAGCGCCACCATCACCGGTTAGTACCTGGCATCCAGAAGAGAGAGAGAGAGAATTCTTCCTCTTCCTCCTCTCAGTCCACCATCTCTCTCCTACCCTCTCACTATCTGACTTCACTGCTTCGGCAGCCTACGAGAGTGAGAGTGGTTTACTTGCAGGGCTGCAGGTAGAGGTTGTCACGGGCATTGGCCCAGGATCTGGTTCGACATTTTTGGGCAGACATTTGGTTGGACTTCGGCAAGGGACTATTTTGAACTTCGCTATTGCGATCTTAGTCTTCTCCCTTGCCTCCATCTTCGTCCTTCCTTCCCCCCTCCATCTCTCATTCGTGGTATCTCCCCATGTGCGTGTATGCACGAGGGACCTTCGTCTATGTATGCGGTCCCTTCCCTCCCTCTCACATGTATGATGTATGATGGGATGTCGTAACAGTCCAGGTCAGGTCAGGACTTATCTCTAAGTCTTCCGCTGTGCTATTAAATGTCATTGTTCATGTATCGGGATGTACACTGTCTGTTGATATTACGTTAGCAGTCCACTGTCCATTCAGTCCTTTTCATCACAATGTGGATCCTTGGCTGAACTCTCAGTGCCCGACTGGGCATGTAACAATGAGGAAGGAGGTGGGGACCAGGAAGGATATTTATTTTATAGTTTCGCTGTGGTGAGTCCTAGGCTACCAGTCGGGCCGCCCGGGTCACCTTGTTTGCCCGGGCTGCCCAACCGTGCAAGGACTAGAGAAGGTCCCAGCAAAATAGGAAAAAAAAGAAGAAAAAAGGAATTAGAAAACCCTGAAAAAACAAAAAAAAAAGGAAAAAAAAAAAAGGTTGTTTCTCGAGCAACAGGCAGAGGAGACAACCTTTTTTTTTTGTTTTTTTTTTTTAAATGCTCCGATCTATTCGTGGGGAGCAGCACGTGCTGGGAACCGGGCCCAGCGTCCCATATAGAATTGTACAAATGCTTTGAAGTACCAGGGCCATTACCTGGCTTCGGCTAAGAACAACCTGAAAACTATGAAAAGAGTTCAAGAAAATTTAAGAAAACGTGGATAGCTGCTGCCCTAATGCTAAACTACTCAAGCAGCAATTAGTAAGTAAAATTGAAAGTATGGCTAAAGAACAAGAGCATAGGCCAAATTCAGCAAACAACTCAGAAACCCCCCATCAATCCTCTTTACCTCACTCCTGCAAGACTTACTGCAGCAGATCCACCATCTCCGCTGCTGTTGTACCCTATTCCCATCCTACGAGCTACCCCCTCACTAGTAGGACGCTTGATATCCCACCATCAACATCTCCCCCTCACCTCGATTTTTACCCGGCATCGTTTTTTTGGACACCCGGAATTGCTCCTTCCCTTGGGTCACTCCAGCTCCCTCTAGGACTTATAATTTCCTTACCACATCATGCACATGCCCCCGCAGAACTGGGTTCCCCCTCCCTCTTTCCCCACCCAAATTACCACTTCCCCCGGTTCACTCCAGTTCCCTCAGGGACTTACAATTTCCTTACCACATCACGCACATGCCCCCGCAGAACTACAGATCCCCCTTTTCTACCCTAATTAAACTTCCCCCCAGGTCCCTCCAGCTCCCTCTGGGACTTACAATTTCCTTACCACATCAAGCACATGCCCCCGCAGAACTAGAGATCCCCCAACTGCCATGACTGATTCCAACTTAGAAGTATGGGTTCTCACTGGATTGTAGAGGACTTAGGGTGGTAGAGCCGGATTACACCTGATCTTAGAAGACTCAGGATTTAAAAAAAAGGGGCCTTCACACGACTGAAGGATACCCACAGGGAGGCCAGACTTCCGGTAGCAGGCAGGTGGAAGAACGGGGTTTAGGGTTTTAGAAGAGAAAACCCAAACTAGTTTCTAGGAAGAATGAGTATCCTTGGGTTGACTTTCATTTCTTTCTTCCTTTTCGCTGAGCTCCCACGGGGACTGGCTTTAATAACTAGGTGGAGGATTAGCTAGAGGAGATCTCCGAAGAAGGGGACACTGGACCCGTTTTCCAGTTAAAGCCCAAGCTGAGTGCTGGCCACATTATTTCGGGTTGAGATGTGGATGGATTCCCGGCCTTCTTTTACTCATACATATAACTAAAATCAATTAAGAAAAAAAAAAAAAAAAAAAGGAAGTGTGTAGAGTCTTATAACATAAGACATAGTCAGACAGAGGGTTAGAACAGAAGGAGAGTCGATAACAGTAGGGTTTAGGGTTTAAGGAGAAAATAAAAGTTAGGTAGAGGTAAATAGAGGTAGGTGTAGCGGTTAGCATATCAACCTGGGGGTAAGATGGTCAGTTCTTTCGGCTCCTAATTGCAACCTAGAGGCAGGTTGGCAGGTTTTTTCGTCTATAGCTATTTTTCTTTTGTTAATCCAGCTTCGTTCTTGTTCAGGAATAGCATTTAGCTTGGCGGGAGAAAGGGACACTGGGCCCGGTTTCCAGTGTGAGCCTAATCTAGGTAATGGCCCCAGTCTTCTGGGTTGACATGTGGAGGGATTCCTGGCCTCCTTTTGCTCTATATATAATGAAGCATGCTATTTGTTATCAAAAAAAAAAAAAAAAAAAAAAAAAAGTTAGGTTATGCCAAAAAATAAACTGAACAACTTTTGATGAAGGTGATGCAATCAGCACAGCTGGCCGACGGCCTGAGTTAAGGTAGGCGAAAGGGTAGAGAGGAGGTATGTACGCACAAAAAATGGCACTTAACTACTCAGCCCCTACTGCTGTTAATTCAGGCTATTTTTAGAACAGTGGGCGGCCCTCAGTGCGGATAAAAAAAAAAAACACAGCAAAGCACACAGCAAACACCGCAGTACCCTGTACAGCCTCGCAGTCAATCTCGGCACTTGATATCAGCAAGTCATAGCAGGCTTACCCCCCCGGGAAGCGAGGACCCCCGAGCTAGGGATGCAGACGAGGTGAAAGACGAGGAAGGTTGCCCTTCTGAGCCGCTTCATATCGTAAAACAACTGACTTTGCTGTCTTGAGAAGTTTCCTTCTGTAGAACCATCTGTTCTCAGAAGGAGGCTGGAAAGCGAACCTCACAAGATACTGTCGATCGGGGCCTGTGCCCCACTCATCCTCAATCCACTCCACATCATACCGCTTGCCAGGGATCGGTGGACCAAATTGAGGAGGCCGGTCTGGGAATGCATCAGCTGGAGTGAATGGAAGCAGCTTAGATGCATGGAAGACCGGGTAGGTTCGTAGATGCAGCGGGACGTCAATGACATAGGGTGGGCCGAATGGATCAACGCCCACTATATCTAAGACCTGCCATGGACCCAAGTAACGAGGCAACAACTTGGGGGAGACATCCTCCTCCCTTGACATCTCAGAACTGGCTACCCAGACATAATCACCAGTGCGAATGGGGGAAGGCCGCCTGTGGCGATTAGCTTGTTCAATCATTGCCTTTTTGGCTTTGAACAAGTTTGCCCGTGCTCTTTCCACACCTATGCGATAACGTCTAGCAAACTCTGCGGTGCTTGGTGTCAGGTCTGACTTAGCCTTATCGATGATATCATCGAGAGGCTGTCGTGGTTCACGTCCCCGGTGCAACCGGTATGGACTGAACCCAGTCGAGGAGTGGACAAACATGTTATAAACAAGCTGTGCCCGAGCCAAGTGGAGATCCCAGTCCTGTTGATCTGGAGAGATGACAGGACACAGCAATTGGAATAAGACTTGGTTCATCACTTCAGCCTGACCATTGGCTTCAGGATGATGACCACAAGTCATGTCCAATCGTGAGTGTAGGTAGTCCTTACAGTAGGATTGTCACTCGTCGCTGCAAAATCGGGGGTCTCTATCACTGACTATAGAAGTGGGCGGTCCATGGTGTGTGACCCACCTCTCTGAAAAGGCTGCTCTCACAGCCGGGACTCTAGCTGCTTCTGGCAAGGGGATGAACTCTGCGTATTTGGAGAACCTGTCCACGCAGACTATAACCTCACGCATGCCACGAGGGGTGGTCTTGCCTAAATCTGTGAAGTCAATCGACACAGATTCAGCAGGGCCATCAGGTATGGGTAAGGGTTTGAGTAGGCCCAAAGGAGGTCTACGCTGGACCTTGTTCCTCTGACAAAGCTCACAGGTTTCCACATAGCGCAACATCTCACTTCGCATCTCCTTCCATAAGAAGCGCTGCGACAGGGCTGCATACGACTTTAAGAACCCAAAGTGTCCGCAGGCATCATGACACTCTGACATCAGCAGTGTCCTGAGATGCTGATCCTGGGGAATGCACAAGCGTTCCTCACCTCTGTTGTAGGTGTACAACAAGTCTGAACTCAGGGCATAGCCGGGTTCAGCATTGGGATCCGCTTGTAGATTCCTCACTATGGGCCAAAAAGTCGGGTCCTGAGGCAGAAGACGAGCAATGGTCTGACGGGTCTCCTCTCCAAAGGAGTGAGTAGAGGAGATCAATGCAGAGAGGTTGGCCTACGAGAGATGGCATCTGCTATTTTGTTGTAGCAGCCCTTCTTATGTTTCAGTTCAAAGTCAAACATGTTTATGACCTGAATATATCGTACCAACTTATCGTTTAACTTTCCCTGGGACTTCATCCACTGTAAGGTGGAGTGATCTGCGAAGATCTTGAAGTGTCTTCCCAGGAAAAAGTGTTTCCAATGTTTCGGGGCACAAACAAGAGCATACAACTCTTTCTCGTAGGTAGAGTTATGAAGCTTTTGAGTCTTGATCTTCTTACTCATGAACTCTACTGGTCGTAGACCATTCCCATCATCTTGCTGAAGAACTGCCCCAATGCCATACTGACTGGCGTCGGTGGTCAGGATGAATGGCAGAGTGGGGTCAGGCAACTTCAGCACTGGTGCACGGGTCAAGGCCTTCTTGAGTCGTGTGAAGGCCAACTGGCAGGGAAGGGACCAAAGAAAATGAGTGTCTTTCTTTGTTAGGTTGGTCAGGGGTGCAACCACTGCAGAAAAGTTCCTGACAAACTTTCTGTAGTATGAGGCTAAACCCATGAAGGACCTGACATCCCTCACTGTCTGTGGTTGTGGCCACTCCTGAATAGCAGTTGTCTTGGCTGCTTCAGGAGCCAGACCATCTCCAGAGATTACATGACCCAGATAGATGATAGAGGGAACTCCAAAGGAGGACTTCTCTTTGTTAATCTTATAATGGTTGTCACGTAACGACTGAAGAACAAGAGCCAAGTGCTCCGCATGTTCCCTGGCAGTTCTGCTGAATACCAGGATGTCATCCAGGTAGACAACCATGAACTTATCCAGGTAAGGCCTGAAGATGCGGTGCATCTCAGTCTGGAAGGTACCTGGGGCGTTGCAAAGTCCAAATGGCATGACCAGGAACTCGTAAGTACCATACCTGGTCTTGAAGGTTGTCTTATAGACATCCTCCTCTGCCATCTCAATCTGGTGGTATCCAGATTTGAGGTCGACTTTGGTGAACACTGTGCAGCCCTTAACCATATCCAGGACGTCATCGATCCTAGGAAGTGGCTCTGTACTCTTCCTAGTGATCTTGTTGAGACCCTTGTAGTCGATGCACATTCTGAATTCCCCATTCCCTTTCGGGACAAAGAGGACTGGTGCCCCAAATTCAGAAGTGCTCGGCCGTATCCAGCCTTTGTTGGTCAGGGTCTCAAGCTGCTTTCTGAGCTCCTAAAGCTCATCAGGGGACATCCTGTAGATGCGGCCCTTGGGAGGGACCGCTCCAGGTAGTAGCTCAATGTGATGCTTGGTTGGCCGGTTGGGTAACCCAAAGGGATCCTGCATCAGATCAGCTTACTGGTCCACAACCTACTATATCTCAGGAGGACAGGAAACAGTAGGAGCGTCTGTCTGCTTGACCAGAGCTAAGAACAGGCGCTCATGGCCATACTGGCGTGAGAGAGCATAGAACTCCCTCGCTCTCAAACAGTAGCAACTGGTCTTAGGGTGGTGTTCAACAACAATCATACATGGCTGGTACACCCCCTGTCTCTCAAGCAGTTCAACCTTTGGGATCTGTCAGTCGATCCTTGGGTTGACGACCTTTAGCCACTGCATAGAGAACACCAGGTCAAAGGGTAAGTCAGGGAATATGTAGAAGTTCAGACGGTGTCTGACTTCTCCAGCACTGTCGAAGGTAACAGGGATACCCCTGACCTTCTCCTTGATAGTAAGAACAGTGGAGTCACCTATTCTGACCAGCAAAGGTTGCTACAGCTGCTGAACTTTCATACCCAGATGAAGTTTCTTTACAGCACTAGGAGATATGAAGTTCTTGGTGGCTCCACAATCCAACAACCCTTTGATCCTGATGTGATTGATCAGTGGCCGAAGTAGGATGAGATCAGACTTGTTTCTCTTTTGTTCCTTCAGGTGAAGGAAGAAAGCAGCAAGTGACTGAAGCTCATCTTGCCCCGGGTCCTGATCCGGGCCAGGATCCTCATTGCAGAAGGATGCTGCCCTTGCAGTCCCCAAACACTCACATACAGTCTCAACTGAAACAGCTGCAGATTCACCTACCTGAGCAGATGAAGGTGCGGTACTGGGGGGAATTGCAGTCCCCAAGGTCTGTTTCAGTTTTTTGACTGACCCGGGTCTGGCATGTAAGGGCAGTCCTTTAAAAAGTGTTGTCCCTCACATCTCAGGCAGACCCCTCTCTCCTTCCTTCTTCTCCACACTCCCTCCTGGATCTTGAGGTCATGCCAGGGGAGAGTGGAGGGATTGAGCGGGTCAGCTGGAATACAGACGTCTTTTGGCAAATTCGGGCGCTGGGAGGAGGAAGGCCGACGTCCCTTGTCCTTCCCCTTTGCACTGGCTGAGGCTGTGGTGGGGGAAAATCTCTTCTGCTGCTGCAGAACCCCGAGAATAGCATGAGTCAGGGCCGCTGCAACATCTGTTTCAGCAGCTGATCCAGTCCAGCTGATGGTGTATCAGCCTGGGAATCTGAATCAGAAGCTGATGCAGACCCTGCATGCGCAAAGGCTGCCTATTCCTTTCTACCACCATGAGGGAAGGCACCTTTCCTCCTGTCAGAGGAGGGGGCCTGAACATGAAGTTTTGCCTCCATGTCCAGGGCTGCACGGCTGAAGGATCTCCAATCCTTGTGCCCAGCGCTGTACAATGCAACGGAAAACTTCTCAGGGGCTGCCCTGCAGAAGTTTGTTAGTAGGTCATCTGCGGACATGACCAAACCTGGGGTGGAAGTTAATTGCTTGAACTCTGCAAACAAAGATTGCAGGGATCCGCTGTAACGCTGCTGCCCCAGGCGAGCAATCTTGTCAGCAGCTTTGCGGGCCTGCTCCTTGTCTGCGAAGCGGTCTTCCAGAGCCTGCAAAAGACTGTCCACTCCCATTCCCAAAGCCCAATCCTCCATGGATTTCTGCTGAGCGCTGGAGATAGAAGTAACCCACTTTTGAGCAGGCCCCTCTAGCGGCCCCAGAACCGTTGCCACCTCGGTCTGTTCTGGGCATATAAAGCCCCTCAAGTAGACTTTGGTCCCTGCAGCCCAGTCCCCAACATAAGTCTTGGGGTCATCCCCTTTGAATTTGTTGGGGGCAGGGATCTTGGGACCTCTTTGATCCCCTGCTACAACAGATGAAAAGGTGGGCTTGGCTGTGGCTTTTTGGGAAGGAGGTGGTGAAGGGGAAGATGGGCGTGAACCAGAGGGGGTTGAAGGAGGAAAAGAGGAAGGTTTCACTGAGAGAGGAGGAGACTGGGGAACAATCAGTTTGGCGGTTGTCAGCTTAGCAGTCAGATTCTGAATTGCATTCAGTATCTTAGACTGTTGAGCTGCCAGGTCGTCCACCCTGCATTCCAGGCGACCGATGCAATCATCCCAGTTAGTGAAATAAGAACTGGTGGCCTTGTGCTCCAAAAGGGCCCACTCCGCCAGATTCTTATTCACCTGGGAGCAGCGGTCATCTATCAAAACCTTAGCTAGCTGCTCCAACAGGTACTCCCTTTTGGAGGTATCTGTTGCAGCCTCTAGCTCAGCTGCCTCCTGTCTCTCCAATTCTGCAAGCAGGGCCTGCCCCTGCTGCAGTCTTTCCTATAGCTCCTTCTTCTTCTGCTGAGTAGCAGTTAGAGGAGTAGTAGGGGTGGAGGTAGGTGGTTCTTGCCCTTCTACCTTCATCACCACTTCTACCTGTGGCTGTTGCTGAGCACCCTGTTCCGCCATTTTCCGCTTTCAAATCAACAATAAATCATGGACACGCAGAGGAGTATGCAATGATTTTCAATTTTCTGCAGACATTCAGAATCGCTGTTGCCTCAGACACAGAGGTAGGTGGGTGAATAGGCAACAAACGGTTTGGGTTAGAATGGTTTCCCTCGGGTCAGGTGTCAGACAAACTGATAGTCCAGTAAAATCATTCACACGATTTCCTTTTACTGACCCTGCACCACACTGGAGTTAGTAGACACAATCCACTACTCTTCCAGAGAAACACTAGATTTCCAGCGCCCACTAGAAAACAAAAGTAGTCAGTGAGAATGACAAAACATGGCAAGTACAAACAAGAAGGATCAAACAAGCAGAGCGATTCAGTCACAGACCCTCAATCCCAACTCGGACTCCAATTTTGGCCCTGATGACTCTGGCGGCCATACCCTAGGGTATGGCGAAGTACAGTATTCACTGTTTCCAGTGGAATACTGCAAATCCAATCAAACGCTTC